CAAGCCCAGACCCGAATTAATCCTCCCTTCTCCAATTTTCCCGCCCAAAATTTCGGTTGCCCAAAAAGATTCCCACCTCCTGCCCAAAATTTCGGGCTCGCCCAAACCCGGCCACTTCCTCCGCCCAAAATTTCGGGCCGCCCAAAAAAGCGCCAGGCCTTCTCTCCTCTCGGCTCATGGGTCAGTGAGTATCTACTCACAGTTTGGCATGTGAGCAGTTTAACTTTTCCGTGTAATACTACATTGATGGGAGCAGGAAAGTATTAAGAATTGAGTCTTTTGGCAGTTTAATTAATTAATTGTTATATTAATTAATTAACGTTTGAATATTGTGAAAAGAGATATCCATTCTAAAAGATAACTTACCTTTTCTGTGAAAACATGTGTCCTTTCGGGAAAGGTAATTACCTTTTTTCTGTGAAAAGATGTGTCCTTTCGGGAAAGGTAACTACCTTTTTCTGTGAAAGGTTGTGTATCTTCGAAGGTAACTTACAGTTTTCACAATATAAATAGAGGATTGCTATAACTCTTTTGATGACGTGAGATTACTTCTTCTACCCGTTTTCCTTCTCTATTTCATAAACACAGAAGTCTGCAAGATTGCTGCTTCCGGACTTAAAATTGAAGGGACTCCTGGGGGTGGTTTGCTCGAGCCTACTAGCAATTTGTAGTGGGTGCAAATAACACTCTAAGAAGAGTGATTAATCACGCCTTCAATCCGATTCTTTCCTTCCAGTTCCTGACAATCTTAGAGTGTTATTTGACGAAAACTAGATTCTGGAGCGAAGAGTACGTTGAAGGCGTATTCTTCTTGTTTCAACAAACTCAATTGGTTTGATGGCCCCAATTTCATGAATGCATAAATTAATTTCGATGGCAAGGTATGTTTTGTGCACTATAACTCGCTGCATCTTCGTTTTAATGGGTCATTGAGTAATCATCATGTAAATAATCAATCCGTGTGCATAAATTGCATGATTATGAGAATTACATGAAAATTTTTGTACTGAGTTTATATATACTGATGTATATAAACGGATTGAGAATGCAGTTGTCATGCATGTAAAACGGATTATGGTTATTAGTGTAATAATGCTATTGAAAGATAGATTGGCGGTTTCTATCTTTCTGTTTATTAATCCCTGCATGTGAAGGATTTAATGGATGACAAAGTTTGGAATTGGTAATACTCTGCCCTGTTTTTTTTTTAATCTTTTGCATGATATGGTATTTGGTATCCAAGAAAAGTTGGCATGGGTTAACAGTCTGAGGCGGTTGGACATGAAGCATTGTATTGCTTCATAAGAGTACTTTGCTAATTCGAGGTCTAGATAGCGTTTTCATACTCAAGGTATGCGGTATCCCGGATTTCACCCGGGGTACCGTAGAATGCACCATATATATGGGGAGTTCTATGGTACCCCGGGTGAAATCCGGGGTACCGCATACCTTAAGTAAGAAAACGCTATCTAGAACTTGAATTGACTGATCTTTCGGACATTATACTATACTCTAACTCATAAAGATCAACATCTAGGTCTTAATTCTCTAAATCTTATACCCCAAGATCAATTTAGTTAGAAACAATAATCGACGGTTATGATTCGTCCAAATATAGGCAAAAAAAGTAATGCTCCATCTTAGGGTTTATAGTTTATGATTTAGATAATTAGGACCTAGGGTTCACTCATTAAGGGTTAGGGTACAGTATCATGCTCAAAAATCATGCTAATTCGAGGTCTAGATAGCGTTTTCATACTCAAGGTATGCGGTATCCCGGATTTCACCCGGGGTACCGTAGAATGCACCATATATATATATATATATATATACATCATGAATAAGCCGTTTTTGGATTGATCATTACATTGGTTGGTTCTGGAGAAGAAAAGTTTTGGGTTAAATCTTAGTCTCTACTGGCTGCTTCTCGGAAGAGAAGAATCATTCGACACTGCAAGTCTGCAAGAGAGGACAGTTCGAAAATCATGTAAGTATTCGCATTACCTATTTCTCTGTGGATTAGTGTGATTATGTGTATATATCAAATCTACATTAATCATTGAATTGTTCCACTGTTTTCGGAAAAGATAGAAGGGGAACAATTAATTAATCAAGGCTATGCAACACGGAGCGGATATGGTGACAACACCATATCTACACAATATATAATAGCAGGAAGAGGGAAAACTGTTGTTCCATTTCAAATTTTCTGCAACGAGAGTGAAAGTAGAAATTAAATTTTGGTCTTCACAATTACTTTTTTTTATTCATTAAAAAGACACATACTGAAATTCGAACCATGACCACTTAAAAAAAAAGCAAGAATCATAACTAATCACACTAAGTACATTTGTTGTATCTTTTTAAACTAAAAACATATAATAGCAGGGAAGAAAAAATCCTTCCTCCATTTCAAATCCCTGCTCCAGGAGCGTTTGTAGGAAGGTAGAATAGGGAATGTCAATTTTTTTCTCTTTCCTCTGTGGAACGGGCCAACTTACCGTACACATGCGGATTTAAGCCCTTAAGCCCTTTTATTTCTCGGTGGTGGTAAAATATATATGAAAAGGCAAAAACAATACTCATTTTTATTGCTAAAAAGAAAAAATTAACAATAAACTAATGCATGGATTCTAATGGACTAACCGCTAACCATAAAATATAAGAGTTGAATGAGCCTTACCTACACGGGATTTGGCCATCAAGTAAAACAAATGAACAACATGGGTTTGTCATTCTAAAACAAGCTATTTTTTCTAGCATAATATATATTATGCTATTATTTATATCTTAATGGCTAAAATATAATGTATTTTAAAGTTATTCAATGGTTCAACCTCGACCAACCCAATTGGTCCAATTTTTATCATTTCAAATATATATTATGTAATTATTTGATATCATAATGATTAAATTATAGTGTATTTTATAGGGAATCGTTTGGTATTTGTTAGTAAAAAGCTAAACAGAACGATCTATTTGGTTAATTTTAACATTAAACGATCCTAATTTTTTTTTGTTTCCTTTCGAATTTCTAGGGTTTTATTCCCGAATCAGTGATGTGCAAATGGCGAATTGCAGTCATCTCTTTTCTTTCACTATTTTTTATTTTCAAATAGAAAGTTTAAAACTAAAGAATAATTAGAGTTTGGCATGGGTCGGTCAAACAGGCTGAATTTCAAGTTTTGGCCCGTTTTGATCAAGTCTAATTTATAAGCACATGGTTCCCTGATACCCGATAAAAATCTCAATCCAAACCAGTTTGGCAGGTAGTCCGTGTTTACCACCATTTTCTATGGATACAGTAACGGCGGTTCCTATCCCAAATCATGTTGTTCGTTCTTGATTTCTTTAGATTTTATCATGGCATGGCAAAAACCAAAAAGCACAACGACGACAAGATGAAAGTTTTATAAAGCAAATTAATCGGCCAACAGGCCGAGTAAAAGCTAGCAACGATTGTGAGATGCTCATTTCCCGAAAACCGGCGGGATAGGCGATTTTTTATTCGATTTTCAAGAATTCGGTATCTATAAAACTTACTCCACCTCATCATATTACCAGAAAAAATATTGTTTCACAAGGTATCAGGTACTTGATTTTGGTTCATAAGGCTGATTTTTGATTCGTTGCATCATTCATGTCTCTTTCCTGCTAAAATTCACTATTTTTATCACATGTTTTCCAAAAAAAAACTATACAACAATAAGCTATACACCCCATTACATTATTAAATTTCATACCTCACCTTCCTCCTACCAACTTGCCGGGGCCCACACTAGTTTGTTGTTATTATAACAACACTAGTCTCCAACCAATAGGAAGCTAGGATTGTGATGACTTTTTATGAGCTTTGTTGACTTAGTGTAAAATCAAAACAGGGATATGATTGTCATTATGAAACATATGTTTAAATAAAAATAAAAAATTTTATTTTCTGCACAAAATTTTGGTCGCCGGAAACTGGTCGCCAGTCGTCGGAATATGCTTACTGGGGTTGGAATCTAGTCATCGGGGCCAGAATATGCCTATCGGCGTCGGAATCTGCTCACTGACGGTCATCAGAGTTCGGTCAACGATCATCAGATGTTATGGTTAGCATTGTGAGATTTATAGTTTGGTTTCTCATATTTTTTTATGCCTTTTGTTGTTTGCTTTATCGTGTTTGTGGTTTGCATTGAGAAGTTTCTGGTTTGCTTTCAAAAACTTTGTGGTTTGCATTGTGAGGTTTTGGGTTTGTTTTAATATATTTGTGGTTTGCATTATGAAGTTTATGGTTTGCTTTTTTGTGGTTTGATTTACTATGTTTGTGGTTTGCATTAGGAGGTTTCTGTTGTGCTTTCGCAAATGTTGTGGTTTGCTTTGTGAGGTTTGCGGTTTGTTTTAGGAGATTTGTGGTAAGCATTAAGAGGTTTCTGGTTTGCTTTATTGTGTTTTTGGTTTGTTTTATCGCATTTGTGATTTGCATTAGGAGGTTTTTGGTGTTTTTAGAAATAGTTGTGGTTTGCTTTGTGGTGTTTCTAGTATGTTTTAGGCCATTTATAGTCTGCATTAGCAGGTTTCTGGTATGCTTTCGAAATAATTGGGGTATGCTTTTGTGATATTTGTGGTATGTTTTATAAAATTTATGGTGTGCATTCCAAGACTTTTGATGTGCTAACATTACTTCAATTGATCATTTGCACTTTCTAGATAGGATCACAGTAGACTTCAAACATGTGGTTAATCACTATCTTCTTCTCTAGTCCTTGCACACTTGAATGCATATACAAAGAATCTTTTTCAGCTTCATACATTCTTCTGGTAAGCATATCTATAAGAATGGGTAGATAGTTCAGTCAATATGTAGTTGCACATAATTGTTCACATCTCATTTCTTCTTAGGTCGAGCTTCATAACCCGGTATCATTTTATCTAAATTTTTGTAATATGCAAGTGACATCTATCATGTCACTTGTACCCGCGCACTGTCGTCTCATAGAACACCGACTGCTTGGTGTTCACCGCCACGGGGATGATCCGGCGGTGAGCTCGGCGAAGAGCACGCTGAACCGTAGGAGGAATGGCTCCCTGCAGGTGGTCCCCTCGGGGCAGATCACCAGGTCGCCTTCCTCGAGCAGGCGCTCGATGTCCACCGCGTCTCTCTCACGCTCCCTCGACAGCGCCACGACCTTGATGAGCGATGTGATCTCCGTGAACTTGCTGATGCTGTAGGTGACGCAACTGATCTTCCGGCCGAGCGCGACGGCGGTGACGACCGGATCGAGGACGGTGCGGTGGTTGCAGACGAAGAGGACGCCTAGCTGGCTCTTTTTGAGCGGCGGTGAGTGTGAAGGAGACGGGACCTATAAGAGCGAACGGGAAAATGCTTAGGGTTAATTTTTATTTATTATTTTTATTGTTGATTTACCCTTTTACCCTTAATGAATCCTATTGTTATTGTAACAACATTTAAGGTGTTGTTATACTATCCGCACCCCTATGCAATATGTGATGTTGAATTTGCAATAGATAGCTTTATGACTGAATCGACACTTCATTAACATGCATTTGCAAATAGGACTTAGCTTGTTAATTAGTCAAACACATGATACAACGTGTTCTTTTGCATCACAGTGGATGACATAGTGAAAGGATTTATGTTCTTACATGCTTACACATGTCTTAGAGTTTGTTCGGTAGTTACCAAAATTATTTTACTAGAAATAGTTTTTGAGTAACATGCAATTGAACAAATGGATATATCAAATACATATTTTTAGACTGTTCAGGACGAACATGTTTGTTGTCGGAAAATAAAAGTGATTTTCTGCATATTCTTTTTCTCTAATTGGTGCAACATGTTTTGTTTGGAGAAAATAAAAGTATGATTAACCGATTTAGTTTGGTTAAATATTATCAAATACTTTTATAGTATTTGAGATGAGATCAAACTCATAATTCATATTATGAGAAGAGTTTGGAGAAATTCAACTTATTTGAATTTGGAAGAATTCACGTGGAATTATTGACACAAATTTCGTCACCAATATTTGTATGAGTTTCAATTTTGATGCTTGCAAGATACAAAAATTTGGTTTATGTAACAAAATTGTTTAACTTGTGATCTTGAAGTAAATTGAAATAATGATGAAAAGCGTTCCCCGACATGATAATTTGTTTATCATGTATGTGGTTTATGACTTCATGTTTTCTATGCCATGAGGGAAAGGAAAATGAAACTAAACTTGGTCCTTGTTGGGATTAGATAAGCTTGCCAGAGAATGATCATCATCAAGATATAAACATATGATCAGAATTGTTTATGGTATATGTACACTATACCATTGGAAAACAATTTGACTTATGATTATGAATGTGAAGTTATTTGTCATAATTGTTTATGGTATATATAGACATATACCATTGGAAAACAATTTGGCATGAGAGTTCAATTGAGATGATCTTATTGAACTTAAAGTCTGAATTACTTATGGTATATTTATGAAGTGCATACCATTGGTAGGTAATTAGACCATTAATTTAGAATATTCATTTGAATTGCTTGTGGTATGTCAAGTTACCTTGATAAAAAGTCATTGGTAAGTAATTAGATGGTATTTCCAATACAATCTGGAAATGCAACTAAATTACTTGTGCCATCTCAAGTTACCTTGACTATTCCATTGGTAAGTAATTAGATGATATTTCTAATAATATATGAATTGTTTGTGGTATGATAATTCAATTAGGTCATACCATTGGTAAACAATTAGATCAATGTAGTGGTTGTGAAAGTTCAATAAGTAGAACCATGGAAAATTTAATGGAATTATTTCATGATAGTTCGGCAAGTGGTAGAATTGTGGGGGAGATGTTTTTTATGCTAGTTGGAAAACAAGTGTTAGTGATAATAAATCTACAATGAGTAGATTTTGACACTTGATGGTGGAGTTGTTTCTTGGGTTTCGAAGAAACAAACGTGTGCTACACACTATGCCATGGAAGATGAATTTCTAGCCCTTGCGGCGGCTGGAAAAGAGGCAGAATGGCTAAGAGACATGTTGTTAAGTATAGAGTTGTGGCCACAACCGATGCCAGCCATTTCTGTCTTTTGTGATAGTGAGGCTACTTTTTCTAGATTTATAGCCTAAGACATGATTACGTTAGTATTTGATTACTAATTGAATCATTTCTATCGTGTATGTTCGATCATGCAATAATTTGGCAGATCCTCTTACCAAGGAATAGCCAAGAGGCATGATCTATGAGACATCACAAGGGAAGGGATTGAGACCTCTTGTGATGTTAGAAGTAATGGGAACCCAACTTTTTCTTTAGGTATTCACTAATTAAAAGGTTCAATGTGGTAATAACAAGTTACTCTAACTGAGGTACTAATTTATTGTACAAGTAAACTAGTCCAAAGAAGGGTGAGTTATAGAACTCTTAAGTTGAGTTACAGAATTCTTAATGAATTCATTTGGAATGTCACCTATGTGAGCATTAAGAGTGGTGCCGCTCTAACAAAAGTAGAGAACAACTTTTGTGAATGCTCATGAAACAGGATAAGCACATGGCCATAATAGTGCTACCCTTGTTGGTGGTTGTGGTTTAGAGAAGAGACAAGTACATGTGTGGCATCCCCGGTTATAGCTTTGGATCGTGACTCCTAGGCTTAAGCCCGTCACTGATTCGTTATCAACTTTGAGTTGCTTACACTAGGTAAAGGTTCTAATCGAAAAGATACCTTTATGTATGTATAACCTGTTCGAGGCAGGTATTCTCAACTCTTGTTGACTAAGTGGGGAATTGTTAGAGTTAGTCAATAGAGTTGTAATACCACATTGATGGGAGAAGGAAAGTATTAAGAATTGAGTCTTTTGGCAGTTTAATTAATTAATTGTTATATTAATTAATTAGCGTTTGAATATTGTGAAAAGATATATCCTTTCTGAAAGGTAACTTCCCTTTTCTATGAAAGGATGTATCCTTTCAGGAAAGGTAACTACCTTTTTCTGTGAAAGGTTGTGTCTCTTCGGAAGTAACTTACAGTTTTCACAAGTATAAATAGAGGACTGATATAACTCTTTTGATGACGTGAGATTACTTCTTCTACCCGTTTTCCTTCTCTATTTCATAAACACAGAAGTCTGCAAGATTGCTCCTTGATTTGCTCGAGCCTACCAGCAATTTGTAGTGGGAGCAAATAACACTCTAAGGAGAGTGATTAATCACGCCTTCAATTCGATTCTTTCCTTCCAGTTCCTGACAGCAAGGGTCCGTGCCTCCATGAGCAAACGATCACGATGCTTATCTCCATTATCCTTTTTTTCCTCCGTAAAGGGGTAGTAATCCTAAAATTACGTTAGAACATTAGGAATGTTTGGCCTGTATTCTAGTATATAGCGATTTTTTTATTTTTATTTTATGGAAACCTAGAAAGGATTTTATGAACGGCTTGAACTGATTACATTATCATTTATTAGTTGATCAACGAGAAAGTGCGCATAGTTGTTTTATAAATCTGCAACAATGAAGTCTAATTTAAGAATATTTATAATTTATTGGATTGGTTTTTTAATCAAGTGTGTGAAAAAGAGAAGTCTGCTGCTTACATTTTAGAACGTAAAAGAGAGAAAAACGAAAAAATACCTTACTATTTTAGTACAATAGTTGTTTTTGTGTGAAATGCATAATCTCGTACAAATCACAGAAATCTCACAACTCGCTTGTTCTCAAGGAGTTAAAATTCTATGAAAATAACATATCTGGTAGTATGAGTGAATTTTGAACCGGAATATCATAAAATCGAGTGGGTATGGTTTTCTTACTTCAATCTCGAACCTGCCCGATTGTACATGCATACAAAATATTTTGTATAAATCATAATTTTTTTGTTTTAACAAATTCGCAATTCCTAATATATTTATAGCATCTAATGAAAGTGTTCCTTTTTTATTATTTCCCTTGGTGATTTTTTATTTATACTTTTTTCATTTTAGTAATTTAAATATATGTTTTACTAGTAACAAAATAGTTGACAAGATAAAGGAAAATATTATTCATGAATTGACCATAAAAATACTATATTATTCATGAATATCCATGAGTACTCCAAATCCGACTGCTGATAATATGTAAATCTGTTCTTTTATCCAAAACTTTGAATTAGTATAGGTTTTCGTTTGGTAGTTTAGCTTGTTAATCAAACTGTTTTCTGGTTCCATTCTTAGCTGACAAGGATGTTGTTAGCAACCCTTTTTGATAAAATTAAAGCAACCGATTCATAAAAAAAAAAAAACAAAGAAATCCGACTAGGTATGCCCGTGGTTTTAATTTTCTACCCGAATCTTGCACGAATATGGGTATAGATAAAATCCAAACTAGTTCGGGTATGGTAAGACACAGTCACTATCCGACCCCGATCAGACCTGTGTCATCCATAGATTTATCGCATCAAGTTATGTATAACTTTTTTTTCGAAAGTTACCAAAATTTTTACGTTTAAAAAAATCATTATTTTAGAAACCGTACCCTACTGTTCGGTCCGACCGAGAATACCGGTATACCAACCCCACTCTGTTAGACGACTTTAACGACATGAAATTATTGAACCATGACTTCAATATAAATGATCTTAATACTAACTTTCTCGATATAATATTCTGTACGATTTCACAATTTTGATGGAAAAAACATATTTAATAGATTATGCTTGGCATGGATTAACGTATCTTAATTTCTTAACAATCCCTAAACAAAAGCAAGGTTAAATTGGTCCAAATGGTCTCTCTTAACATTTCTTTATATGACGGTTGTATGAAAACCCTATCTTGTCTAGACAACACACAACAAGCCCTTACCTAAAGTAAAGTTAAATTGGTCCAAATAGTCTCTCACCTTCTTTTGTATTACAGTTGTATAAAAACCATGTCTTGTTCAGACGACACACGTTCCTTGTTGTTTTTCCGCTTTCTCTTCCCATCTTTATTCTCTCTCCCCCTCGACCTTCTTTACCATGATAGACAGAATGTCGACAGCAGGCAGGAGCTCAAAATTGACATGCCGACAAGTTTTCTCAAATAAACGGTAAGGAAGGATAATAAAGTTGTTTTTTCTTTTTCAAATTTTTTCTATCAAACCATTTTTGCATTTACCCCTGGATTTCAGATTTAATTTTTCAGAGCGTTGAAGAATATTAATGAGGTTTTTTTTTTGTAAGAATGACCAAATTCTTATTAATAAGCAAAAGAAAAACTAATTAAGTCTTAATATATGTTGAAATATCCCATAAAAATATATACATATACGTTTCAATATACTAGTTTAATTCTCGCCATTGTCATATTATTTTTAC